TTCTTCTACTGCAAGGAATTAAGGATCTCAACAAGAAACGTGTTCTTTTAGATAGCAGCATATATACCTCTATAGGTAGCAGTAATCTAGGAGGACAAGCGGCGTCCAATTCCTCGCGCCCAGCTTCACAGGTACCAAGCCTCTAACAACAGCAACCAGGTCAATTGGAATGCGCCCGGTCAGTTCATTTTTTCCGTGTACACCGGGTAAATCTAGCCACCCGGCCTGCAAATTCTCATCTTGATCAACAATTTCGACTTTATTTCGATCGTAAACATAGAAAGAGTTTGGAAGCAGGATGAGTTTTGCGCGAGTTGTCACGCAGTATAAGTATTGCGTTTGAAGTTTTGCTTGAGGTGAACTGTCTGTCCTCATAACGGGTACGGGATACCAAAACCTCTTAGTTGGTTTAGAACAGTGGGTATAAAAATGTTTCGGACGATCGTTTTCTTGCTCAAGGCTTTGTGGTGGCTCTTCTGCGTGTCGGGTCCATCCTTCCGGTGTTCTTCCAATGAGATTTTGGATTGATGATTTATAGTCGTACCATCCGGATTGAATCAACCGCCTTTCGGCATGTGTGGAAGGATACTCCATGGTATACCACCGGGTGACAGGCTTTAGAAACCAAGGAATATTACCTTGGTTAACGAACTTCAAGTCCATAAAAAACGTTATGACACCTTGCCAACCCATCCAAGACCAACTTGGTAGACCGTCCTTAATAGGGTCTCCTTTGAAGGCTTTTGATATTTTTCTTCTGTTGATGTCGGAATTATTGGACCAAATCAGCGAAATATCGAAAAAGAATTCAGGATGGTCGAAGAGAAAGCCTCCCGGATATTTAGTATCAAGCAGGTTCTGGATACCGGAAAAGGCTCCAGATATATCCTCAGGATAAGTCAAATACCTCTTATTGAAAGGGTCTGTGAGGTATGAGAGTGCATTGAGCTGCGGAATGCAGGTATCAAAGACTTCCCACGGTACCTTTTGTATTGGATCCCAAGGGGAACTTAAACAGAAGGATCCAAACCCAAGTGTTTCCGACCGTTTACCACATTCACATCGCCACTCTACAGGCCCATCGCCAAATATGAGGAGTCTTTTTGAAAACAAGAACTCTTGAAATGTCCAAGCACGGGAATGATAGGAACGTCCTGGTAAACCTTTTAGCTTTCCGGGCCTCCCGAGTGAACATAATTTCTCTCCATTGGCTAAATTGATAATTTCCTGTGAGAAACTCCTTGGCTTAGTATAGCCGCTAATGCCTCGCAGTCCGAATTCTGCATCCTGACCGGCCTCGGCAACGAGACATAGGGAAGACCCCGCAAAGATTATATGCATCTTGCTGAGGTTTCTGTAAAGAAATTTTTGATCATCTTGGACAATGCATAGGCTATCGACCCAGAGGAATCTTTCCCCTAGACATTTTGTGATTTCGCAGGCGTTACGAATTGTCTCCGGTATTTGTTGAGCAAATTTTGGTGAGGCTAATGCCCCCGGTCGTTGTAATCGCCGAAAAACGCGCTTTTTGTTCCTCAGGTTTGCAGTTTCTCCCCACGTGTAAGAAAGAGTGAAATAATGTTTGACCTCTGAGGTGTATGGTACAATGCATGAATGAACCACGTCGATGAGTAATTCTGGATGAACACGTTCCAACGTTTTCATCCATGGAGGCTCGTTACATTTTGAGGAGTGTTCCGTAATGCATTTTGAATACCATGTGCGGATCATGTTTAAATCAATCCATTTAGGATCAATGATGCGTCCTTTTCCTGGATGGTCTAGAAGGCTTTCTCGAGCGAGAAGTGCCACTGACATGATAAGATCGTTTCCGTTGGCATGACAGACGCTTATGTAAATGGCATTAGAGTATCCATCTTTTTGGGCCCGGAGAATAGCATATTTAATGCCCTTTTCCGAAATGATACTCCCGGTGTTAACTCTGACCAAATTGGAGTGGGGACATTTGCTGCCCTTAAATTCGCCAAGCTCTCCCAGACTCACTTTGGCGCGTTCTTCAAATGGTGTTCTGAATAACGCGACAATCTTAGTGCAGACATGGCACGAGGGAGATTGTTTCATCTTTCCGGAAGTCTGATTTGCGTTTTTTTCGCCCGCTATAGATATCGATCTGAAATACTAAGTGCCAGACCTTGGCAAGTGAGGTGACGGTACCAATGAGCCCATGAAGAAAAAGACTTGGGCTTAACGTTGATTAGCGACAGTAGTTAACGGCAGATATTGTGCATTTTGCTTACATAAGATCTAAGTCAAGGTTGATAGCAAGATTGCTCTTGATCCTAGCTATCCGTAGGTGTGGGGGTTTGATGGAGCACGTGAGGATGAACTTTAAATTCTTCTGACACCTTCATCCTTCATCGACCTGAAAGATGTCTATTTATCTACCCTAAGCAACCCGAAAAGGGGGGATGCGTGTCAGATTTGCCACCTATTTTCCGGTCAGCAGCGCAGTGTTGTGTAACTGTCACGTTCTGTCATCTCAACCAAATCAGCAGATGTGCATACAGTAGCTCTGGTATCGTGCATATGATGCAATGTGATTACCAGCCTGATTGGTGGACTTCCCGCTTCACTGCGGGTGAGCGCCACAGATACTCCAGTTGGCGGATTGCATAGGTGAAAAATCCGTCCGCATAAAGAACCAACCAGAGCGGCACGAGCTGCCGTGATCATGCGACACACAGGATTTATGTCAGTGCGAGCCGGGAGGCCGACGCTATTGTGTTACCATCTTATATATCTGTCCAATGGAGATCATAACCATTTGTAATCTGTATTCAAGTGTATGCAAAAATTCCAGCCGGGTATCTGAAAACCCTATTATAATTTATAGCGTAGAGTGAAATAATCATTGGAAAAGATTTGGCCTGCGCACTGAAACTAAAGGAAGATTGAGAATGTTGTGAACCTGATTGGACCGTCTAGAGCTCTCTCGCCAGCCTAAAAACCATGCTTTAGCGCGCTTGAGACCCTACACTTCTCCGCCACTCGTATGCTACGCCACATTAGCAACAATATTGCCTGCAGAGCCAAGTCATCAATGCATATCGTCAGGCGGCAATGATGCAAAGGCTACGGGATGTCAGCCTAACTTCAGCCTTGCACAACCCACGAAGTTTGCAACCACATTCTTCTTCCTTTTAACGTTGTGAATTTCTGATATCCATATTCAGAAGTGGAACATGGATTCAGCGACAGTTGCTTTAGTTATCTGGCTTGCAAGTACGTACCTCATCCAATGGGTGCACTCTATGCGTTGCGCACGCAAGCACATGGTTGCAGTGCAAACCGAACTGTCCAACTTCTCCGTCTTACTCTGCACGTTTCACGACATCGTCTCCAATCCAGACTTAATGGGAACACACACCGAAAAGGAAGCCAAGGTGTGGTTGCGTATCGAAGACAAAGGACGCAACCTTGAAATGCAACTGAACACTCTCCTTGAAGATGTGGGATTGCTCGACAAAACGATCATGCATGCTCCTTGGCAGCATCAAATGGCCAAACACCGATGGTATCTTCGAAAGCTGGACGCTGAGCGTTTGCAAGCTAGGATTGATCGGGTCAAGGCAGCGATGATTGCATTTCTGAACCTGATGGTGCATGAAGGGGCAGTTCAAGAGCTAGAGGATGTGTGGAAGAAAATGGCATATTCCAGTTCAAGAAGATCAGTAATACAGAGAAGAACGAAGCCATTGCGAGGCACACCCAGGAGAAACGATCGGCAAATGTAAGCATACAAACAATTCCTCCCTTCGACTTTAGCATTTTTTCAATGCACGAGTTCATCCTAAATCGCAATAACTGACATCTGTCCCTACCCTCTCAGAATTGGACTCGAATCAAAATTAAAATCGGCGCACGAGAGACACAGGTCTGCACTATCGAAACTTTGGCACTACGCTGAACCATATGAACGGGTTCCGTTATCCAAGGACTTGATCCATAGCATACAGAGAGTCAAGCACATTATCGTCAAGCGTACCAAAGACTCAGTACAACATCGTAACAACGACTCATCACCATCACCATCTATATCAACAATCAGTTACCAGTTCACTCCTAAATGTAGAGAAGATTCGACTGGACAAGGACAAGAAGGCCTCAGAAGTACTCCAAAAAAACCAGCGCTTCCAGCAACCCTCAGACTGGCAACTGCAGCACCCGCCCCCATAATCGCCACAGCGACATCGAGCATTTCACAAACGTCCACTGCAATCACATCAAAGAGCGTGCTGGAATGGCTGCAGGACGCGGAACCAGACAAAGAGCTCCATGGTTCAGAAGTACGTGGTCTTACTCCAAACACTTCACCAACTTTAACCCAGTCTTCCTCCCCGTACCCGTCTTCTCCGCCACAAATACAGGCAGAATTCCAGACAAAGTCTCCTTATTTCCGGGATTTTCTCAGAAATGTGCCGCACACACCATCTACAACACCAAACCTACAGAGGTTCAGGGGCAGCATTATTGGTGAACAAAGTGGAATTGTCGGATTGGGGCTAAAGGCTTGAAGAAGCAATATTGATGCATAAGTTGAGTTGAGTTGAGTTGAATTCATTTACCCTGACCCATCGCCCTGAGCGATATGCAGGCTACGACTATTCAAAGAGTTTTGCTACTAGTTTACATGTGACGTGTCAATCTGGGAGGAAAGTAGAAGGTAAAGGGGGTGGATAGTAGGGTAGGAGAGGGTAGTAGTGTAGAGGTTCTATGCTGTAGGATTGTCTCTATTCTTAAACCGTTGTGAGTCTTGTGCAAAGTTGAGCACAGCCTGAAGCTGTGATGCTGTTATTCTCCATTTGTTGTCTTTACTCTGGGTAGCTGCGGCATTGCTTGGTGGCTTTCCGCCGAGTAAGGCTGATAGGCTGTTCTTTTCTAGTCCACTATCTTGGAGCATCTTCTGTCGGCTTTCCTGAAGCAGAGAGCAGTTGAGGAGAACGTGGGAAACTGATTCGACTTCTCCGCATT